TGTATAAGTTATACATTTAAAAAAATCTAGATCCATACATATATTCGGCCAGTGACAACTGTGACATTTCGTACTTTACAAACCCTTGTAATTTTGCAAAGCACTTAGTTGGGTCATTTTTTCCAAAAAAGTAATATACATGCATTATGTTAACTGATCAGGATATTTTAATGCGATTAATAATGTCAAAAGGCGAGTAGTTACAGTCACATCTGAGTGCGTGCCTCTCACGAATTTTACAAAACCGGGTTCTATCAGTTAATAAACAAATATTGTAAATAGCAACAGATTTGGTGAAGCTCATAAAATAGCTTTACGGTATATGCAGCCATTTATTGTTTCAAAATGAGATAGATAGAAATACTGTCAGGGAACAAGAGGAAAAACGGAGAGAGGAAATGGGGGAGAGAGTAAACTAGCTCGATTTGAAAAGCTCTTAATTGACAAAGTCCGCCACTTTTTGCATCTGGTCATTACGCTCATTAAGTGCCATCATCGTAATTGTAATCCATTTTATAGCAGAGAATGTTTAATTACAAAGTTTCGATCTGCAAAAAAATGTTCAGAACATTCTCCAGCGATCAATATCAGTGCCCCAGGGGTCTAAAGTATGTCAGTGATTTATAATACTTATTCCATCGGCAGAACAGTATGTGGGGTGGTCATTATACATTAATAATCTAAATTATCGAGATTACGTAATGCAAATTGAGTAAATGCAGCATAGACATTATGAAAATTAAAAAAAGTGTAATTCAATGCTTGAAGTGCGGAGTACTATACGAGACAGACATTTTGTCGTGAATTTATTGGGGCAAAATACAAACTTAATTGGAGAGATATTATCACCCATTGGTCATTGAAGTTTAGTCATTAAGATCCCCACGATTTGTATGTATACACATTGGTAACATTAAACAGATAGTAATCTTATAAGGGATAAAATACTGTGTGTCAAATAAAATGCTCATGATGGAAAATATTAGTCAATTATAGATATCTTAACAAAGCAAAACAAGTATTTAACCGCGCAACTACATTATTCTCATTTTGGTCCATTGTAAATTCGCAGAAGCACATAGAAAATTATAACTCGACAATGAAAATAATAAATAAGAAAAATTAAATTCGGGATAAAATCTATTTTAAACAACTCTTTGAAAGAACTAAGGGAATTTTATTCCGCCAAAAATGTTAGCGTCTGCACGCTAACATCAATTTCCATGCGTGTTACTACGTTTAAATCAATGTACACGAATAACCCCTTCATAACAATGACAATCAATAACTTTAATTAGGGTTGAAAATAATTGATTTTTGCCAATGGTATGTTTGCAACATTTCCTGACTCTCTTTTTGAAGTAGTCTATAAATAGCAATGCTGCTAAAACAAATCCGCATCCCATTGTGCTCCGGGCATTATCATGTATATGAGTTTCATCTGTAAAAGATTTTGTTTTGATTCACGTTAATAACAAATTGATAACGTAAGTCTTTGTGAAAATGGAATGCAGCTCTTTTTCAAACAATAATTATTCTGGGGGCGAATTAAGTTTAACAAGGTTGTCATTGCGGTGGGAATTGCCCCTAAAATTATTTTCCACAATATGACTTGTGTCGTATCAAATTGGGCTCGAATCACGATCTCAATTTATTTTAATTTATTTAATTTTGGGAGGGATTTGTTAAAAGCGTTCCTTCAGTTGCCATTTACTATTTGTGTTTAATACAAAGAAGATGGTCGTCTCTTGAGCAGCAACACCTAAACAAATCGTGTTACATTTTATATCAATATCCCTGGTTGATTTTCAAATTTGTTTTCTAATGTAAAAACATTAGTCAGTGATAAGCCTCGTTATTCATTTACGTGATCGTAAGATGATTATTAAGATTGGCATGATCATACTTTTGAGGGTTATCAGCATATTTTATACACAATCGTTTGGTCATTGTTACGCCCTAGTCACAGGGAAACACCAATCCCAAACCAACCAACACCTTGGACATCCGAGGAAAAGAAACGTTTTTTGTTTGTGTTAGATCCTTGGTCACTCTGGTTCGGTCTCGTTTGTGTGACTGGGAGCATTCCCTTTAGATTTTTGACACCTTAAACACAAGTTTTTCCATTATACTTATTGTTTTCCTCCACCCTTTTCACTATCCTCATCTGTCCCCAAATTCCATTTCGAATTCCGGCTCGAACACCCTCCGATAAAGACGCCGCTTCATCACAGCGTTATACTTCAATTGGCGCGATTTCAATTACATATTGCAGTCACCAAGCTATCATTATAATAAAATGAAATTGATCGATACTCCCAGGTCATCCCAATTTGACCGTCTGCGTGCGGGTGTGTTTAATTTTTAATCAGCACCTTCTTAGCAATTTCGCGCGAAGATTGTCGGTTTACTATCTTGCATCACAAACCCAACCTACATTCTGAATTAATTTTTCGAAGGATCTGCCGCCTACATCATTACATTATACTCCAATTGGTGTGATTTCAATTAGAGAAGATAATGTTCGCGCGCGATAACGAGACCATATTAGGATCGATAGCCCTACCGTCTGGTATTGATCTCCCATGCAATCCTATACACGGCCGGGTCATATTATATTCCTCGGATTGCATTTCAGGATAGATCTATATAGTATGAAGGTATTTGGATGATGTGATTTTGTCAGACCAGAAAAGTTGCGGTGGTCCAATAATTGAAATATACCCCCTCCCGTGATGACCATGTAATTCAGCGAATTCTTATGAAGGACTCTTTGAAATCTCGTCGAAATATTAAGGCAGCTCTCACGAATGTGAGTGTAAACACCACCTTGTTCCATTTGAGACATGGATAAATTCACTTTATGTGATAGATTTGGCTTTAATTTTGTAGGTTTTTTTTCAGTGAAGTTAAGATATTTTGTTGACTATGAGTGGTCTGAGACTTTTGCAGATAATTGTCCAGAATAAATTTTCTAGCTTCCCCGATGCCTGAGATATAAGCTATTTATCATAACTTTGTGAAGTCCCTTAAGGCTGTCTGATGGGCCCACTTTTGTTTATTTTGTATCAATGATTCTAAACTGTTCTTGTATGGTATCATACTTCTGTTTGCAGACGACTCTCAACCTAGATATACATACTCTCCAAATGATACAATATAAAATTCGTTCTATCAAGGAAAATGTTTTAAAAAACTAATGTAAAAAGTGTTAACAAAAATATGTCATTTAAGATGATTTAGAAAAAGCTTACAAGAAAATATTAATATTATACTAGATTTTGCATTTTCATATAAACTTTTTACCAACGAAATTATAATTTTCACTCAGACGGTAGGAATGACACGGCTCCTCGGAGAACTAACTGAAGCTGATTTATACATTTCTTCTAACTTGTATAACCAAATATTTAATCAAAGCTGAAGAAGAAAACATTTGATGTCATTTTTTATCTGAATGTACAACCATAAAAAAAAAATGGTATCAGCAAATGTTATTCTGAATATCCACAGAATGCATTCATTGAAAAGGAAGCTCTAGACTTCATCGAGGGTTTTGAGGAGTCAATGTTTCAATGTCTATTTATGTTTTGATTTCCTTTTATTATCACATTAGTTAATTCATGAGGGTAGTCATACTATCAAGCTTTGCTTACTTTGTCAGCACTCCTGTTTAATGTTTTCGATTAGTTACAGCCAGCCTTACTTTATTCTACATAATTATATTCGTTTGTCATGTGTAAATTTGAAATGTTTGTTTGTTATATATTTGTAAAAATCAAAAATCAAATCAAATCAAACAGAAATAAATAAATCAAATCAAATCAAATTAATGCTTTATATAGCATCTTATAGCATTTATCAACTTTTTTTTCGATGTAATAGTAATAATAATCTCAGTTAATAGTAGCTTGGTCATCTTTGTGTACTCAGACATTTATAATAAACCAATGAACCTTAATCGTCCTGTTGATCTGTTAGGAAGGGTGGAATATTGGTTTTAGCCAGACGCCTTAAGAAGCGATGTACATTACGGATGCTCTAGGAGGGAGGGGGGGGGGATGTCAACATCCCACACGCCAGCCCGCTGAGGGGCTCTCCTGGTGAACTTCAGCTCGTTTCCGCTAAGCCCAGGTAACTTGTACTTTCCCAGGTAGCCACCAGAAAATCAGAAGCCTCCTGAAAATAACAAAGTTAAATCATGCCCTTTTTTCCCGTCATCTCTCCGCTTCTTTTTCCATCTCCCCTTTTTCTCGCTACTCAAACATCTCGTCAAATGATGCCTCTCCCAGTGCCTAAAAATCATTACACCGCTAGTGATGTCGAGGGGATGTATACTAATTCAGGGAGAAGAGGATTTAGCAAGTAAAAGACAAGAGGTTGGAAACAGCCGAAGGGTGATCGCGCCGGTGGCTAGAGGTGAGTCGAACACCTGCCCCGTCCAAAGCGGCTCCTCAACACTAGTGTGCTCGGTGATTTCACACTCCCCTACAATCAACTCTCTCTCTCTCTCCCTCTCTCCCTCTTTCTCTATCTCTCACTCTTTTTCTCTCCTCCATCTCGTCCTCTCTCTCTCTTTCTCTACCTCTGTCGTTTTTTTTCCTCTCTCTCTCTCCATTTATCTCACACACTCTCTACATCTCTCTCTTTATCTCTTCCCAGCTCCATCCTCTCTCAATATCTCCTCTTCTCCCCATCTCTCATCCTCTCGATCCTTCTCCCCCTGTCTATCCCCTCTCGTCTTTTTCTGTCTTTGTCGACTCATGCGATTTCACCATATAGTCTAATAACGGTCGTCGATCAAAGCGGGTCTCCTTGTTAATTGGATTGATAGTTACTTATCGATTTAAATCAAAATGGCTGTTTGACACCTCCACCAATAGCTGCTAGATACATTATTGCTGTGACGTATTCTTCAACTTAAACAGCCCGCGCATGCCTCTTCCAAAAAAATGATGAGCGGAGGATGACAGTGGTCGTCTGCTCTCGCCAGACGCAGATCATCATTATTGGTTCCCGCGCTTTTTGGAATGCATCCATTTGAGTTCATCTCGAGATGATTCAATATTTTTGAAGCACATTATAGAACTACAGGTTATACTCGGAATCGGTCATCCTATAAAATAGCGAATTGAATTGTTTTATACGGTATATTATCTTGGTGGTGTACGAACGCAATATTAACTTCTCTATAACTTAAAGGGATGTTGTCTAAAAACACTCAGGTATATTGAATTAGTTATTGACTTTTGTTAGATTTTTTTTGGAAGTGGATACTGAACACAATATTCGACCAAAGTTCAAGAAATTTTGCTCTAGCCACCCTATAAAATCTACAATTTTTTTAAATTCAAGGCCATCAAAATCAGCGTTGTAGCTTAGAAATGTCGGGAGTTTTATCCCCGGAAGAACAAATCAGTGATGTATTCGAGAAAAGCGAGCGAAACTCCGTCACAACCACCAACCCATCTTCACCTATCATGTCTGTCTACCAAAAAGAAAAAAATCACGGAAGCCCGAGCAACACCGGCAATACATGTAGCAACAGCAGCAGCAGCATTGATGAACCAGCCTCTACCACCACCACCACCACCTCCCCCGCCGCCATCTCCCTGTCTCAGCTTGTCGGATCATGGTCACGTGGATGCGAGGCACGCTTCTCGGCGTTTACCGCCGTTAATTCGAACCCGTCTTCAAGCCAGCGACTCGGCGTCGGTTTGTGTCACGGGAGCGGAGTGCTCCAGCGTCTCGGCGCCTCCCTCGCTGGCAGCAGGGACGAAGAGAAACTTGGCGCCACCACCTGCAGCAGCGACAACATCGCCACCACAGCTTCAGCATCCTATTCAACAGCAACCTCAACCGCAACAACAGCAGCAGCTATCGCCATTCCAAACATTACCACACATCACCATCACCTAGGTAGCAACCATCATCATTTGGGCAGCGGGTTTAGATTGTATTCGAAGTTGGATGTCGCAGGGGAACCCCCTTCACCAGCGCCCATCCATGGCGCCGCGTTCCCTTTTGCTGGTCTGCATGGCTTGTCCATGACAGCGGGTGCCAGAGTTCCTCTTGGCCCACCTGGAGCTATATGTAAGTTAAATCTATTATCTATTTCTTTAAAATGTTGATATATTTATTCGGTAAATTTTGTTTCCGTTATAAATTAATGGTAAGAATATATTTCTAGTTATCAGTCTAGTGTACCGGGCATTTGTGGATAGAGGAATTATAATAACACAAAGTAAACCTTTTAAAAATTCTGGAGGGGGCAGAGGAAATTATGCCAGAAACTTAAAAATAAAGATTTGGATGCCTTTACAAAACTCTGAATGATCAAACAATTGCAGCTTTCGAAGTCATACACTGAGCATAAGACACCTTTTCATCATGTCTTGATTAATATTGGTCCAAAATAGGAATACATGTTTTATGGTTGCCTGGAAATGATATTGATTACTTTACAAAACAGAGCAATAATTCCTCACACTTTTCATGCAAACTTAAAAGAAATAGATGTAGGTTATAAAGTTGAATGTCGTCAACTATAACTTTATTTTTGCATGTCCGTTTAGCTACCATTCCATCTCATTCTTTTTTTTTAGTTCACAGAACATTTTAATAGAATAGCATTAGTAATCATTCTGTATACACTATGGCCTGTGCAAATTGTTATAATTTGAAAGACACATACGCTTTCAAGAATTACCTGATTGAATTCATAATCTATTGTCGTATGTCATCTTGTGAAATGGGTTGCTTGAAAACGCGATTACTACATGAAATAAAACTATTAAAACACATTAAAAGTATATGAACACGTTAAATACTGGGGTATATGACTTTGTATGATCGTCTTATTTTCTCATTACATTTTGTGTTTAAATATGTGACTATTTTCGGTTTGAACGTAACTGACAAAAACCTCGCCCTTCTCTAGAATGACACATTAAGAGTAATTTTACACCATTTACCCTGTAGGGGAAAATGTGCCCCATCACATCTAATTGGCTATAAACTCAGTTGAACAAATAATTTTTGGCAAATAAAGCTTCCACACAGCTACGATTATATTCAAAGACCACATTCTCAAATATCATGGATATTTCATGGAAAACCATAAGATTGTATCGAATTTATGAACCATGACCTTTTTTGGTAGTTTTAAGGCTATATGAGAAAGCTTTTACTCCTTTTGAACAAAGCTATTTTTGAATACTTTTTTTCTTATTACTTTAGTCTTGAAAACAAAATCATTTTCACCCCATTTTTATAACCAATATCAGTAACGGAGTACTTCACTCTCATAAATAAAGATTTCGTTTCTTTTCATTATTTTGCACCACTTCATTCCATATTATTTTGAAAAAATGTTGCCGTCAGTGGTCAATACAAATCAAAGGTCAAAATATTTCAATTGATTGTTTATATATCCCCTCAAACAAAACTAAACAAATTATATATATATATATATATATATATATATATATATATATATATATAAAATCACCTACCACGGTTATGTAACGCGACCTAGATATCTCATTTTTACCCTTGATTTTCTCTGAAACTTGGCTCCGGGAAACAATATCACACTTTTCAATATCCTATTCAAAAAATAAAAAAATTGTGTGTGGGGGGGGGGGGGGGGGGACTGACATTCATTTTAGATAATGTTAGTCAAGTTATCATAGTAATGTGTCGAAATGAATACAGTTGATAAGTTTATCCCCTTTTGCAAAGAAACATAACGTATCTCAGATTCTAAGAAACTATCCGCGAGGCCGTGGAGCCGGAAGGTCGTATTCAAATTATAATTGTGATCTATAAGATGGAGAAAAAAAAACAGTTGTTTTATTCAAATATATTACAATACATAGATTAAAAACATACAAAATATGTTGTAAAACTCCAAATGTTCACTTAACGTTATCGATATAATTTATTGTTCAAATTTCAGTCTTCAATTCAGATTTAGATGCCGCGGATCCATGAAAAACATTAATAATTCATTCCTGAGTTTGGCTTGATGTCATTGATGTTTCAGTCTAGCTTTTCCATGATGTTCCGTATTTCAACTTTAAATTATCCTTTTTCCTATTCCAATATTAAATATGCGCAATCATTTTATTTGAATCAGCATCCCATATTGGTGCGTGTTTTTAGTAAATAGAAGACGTTCAAGTATGCAATTCCAATATAAGCTGTAGAAAACTTCTTTCTTTGATTCTGATGGCTATAAAATCGTAAGCTGATACTCATACTTTTAAGCTGCTGCGAAGTTTTGTGCTATTAAGGGGGATATCAAACAAATGAGAGATGAAACACTGATGTAAACCAGACGTCACCATTTAAGTACACTTTTCTTTGTTTTTGAGCGTCAAGTAACGCCTGACTGGAATGCTCCCCAGGGAGTGGAGATTGTGCACACAGTGTGTGCGGGCAAGCACTGAATCCAATGACCGGGGTAATAGTATTTTTGTAAAGCGCTTAGAGACATTTGTATTAAGCGCTATATAAAAACTAAATAATATTTGTTTCTACAACTTCTATCACACCTCACTGGTTTTTTATTAGATAGCTTGGGATAAGTTGTCTACTAATCCTAAAAATATTCTTGATAAGATTTTAATACCCCTATATGAAAACTTTCATGATCGCAATTACAGTTGCCGGTATGAATAAAAATTATTAACTTATAGTTGAAAACATCGAATTTACATTAAAATAATTGGCATAAATTTAATCATCAGTGCCAATTGGTATTAATCAAAACCATTAATCTCATAATTATGATCAATATAACATTGAATCGGTGATATTTAATTTCATAAATCTTTAGAGCCGAAAGCGTCTTTTACAACATTCATTAAATGAATATTGTATGACAAGAGAAAACCCAGCTACGTTTCGATGTTTCCATGACAATCATGCACCACTTCTTATTGTCAGTGGATTCATGATGTGGACTTTACCTGGAATTAAATGTTTTATTCGGTAATTTTATTTAAAAAATCATTTTTCTTTCTTAATGTCACTTTAACAGAAAGTATCAAAAATATTCGATAAAGGATTGGCGACAGTTTCTAATAGTAATACCCCTACTTCTTTTTCGTTCTTGGCCGACCTCATTTAGATCAATGCATTCATTTATAAAGAGCATGATGTTCCGTTTTTAATTAAACCGTTAAGTATCAATATTGTCTTAGGAAAATGATATAGGCCTAGTTTTTTTCTTCTTAAAATTGTAATAGTAGAAGCAAAGTTATTTATAGTCTCTTTGATCACATCTGAGGACCTTTTTGGAAAGAGAGATGATAACCTTTGAATTGCCAGTTTCCATTAAATCCCTTTTTAAAGTTCGTTATGAATTGTGGTTTCAATTTATTATATTACATCAAATAGAATGAAATCTAAACAATCCTTTTAGACTGATATTGCTGGAAAATGAGAAGCCTTACAAAAATGCCGAAGCAAAAATTCATTATCAATGTGAAAACATTTTCACTCGACGAAAGCTCTCATACATCCTCTTTCTACCATCGCAACAAAACAGTAAATGCGGCAACTAACACAAAATAATACCCCAAACTCCTCCGACGATCAAAGGAAATGTTCACCGAAACACTGAGGGCGTTTCCGATAAGTAATAAAGATTCAATTATCTTTTCAGCTAAGCAATGCACTAATAAACCCCCGCTAAAACTCCACTGGAACAGGTGCTTTTTCTAGTCTCATCTAATCGAAAAACGATAACCATTTCCCTCTAATTCTGACAAGTAATTCCAGGTCCTTTTCATTGCCGACCTCTCGACATGTTTTGCCTGAAGTCAAACGCTGTATCTATCTTGTCTCTTCTAACGTCGCACTTTTATGCTTTGCCGAATATAACAATCAATCTCGAGAAGATAGATAATACTCGTTGGCCTTTTTGTGAAGATGAAAGGGATAGCCTAGGAGGAGCTCTGATCGGCTCTTTTTACACCGGGTTATCGCTTTCATTTTCATGCCTTGAATGGATTTAGTATAAGGGTGATTATTTATTTATTTATTTTCTTGCGGTTATGTCGTAATTGATTGTTGAAGATGCGCAGGTTCAAAGGGAGTTACGAATTGATTGAAAAAACGCTGGCATCGCTTTGGGGGGTATCTCTGAAAATAGCTATTTAACCTTGATCAATCATTAACCTACTGCTCTCAAGTAAAATATTAGAATGAAGAGAAAGGATAATAAAATACACAACGCTGTGGGCATGGTTGGACTTATGCTCTTTAAAACACACGTAGTATTTATATTTGTATTTATAATCAATAATAAGATTTTTAACTAAATGGCCTACTCCTTATTCTTATTTTCTTTGCGTTTTTTTAATAATCTAATGATAAAATATTTACTTATTCACCAAAAAGTGTAAGTCCCGTCATCATATGGTAATTGTAGGTCTATATCAATTATGAAAGATCTTATCTAATATCTATTTTGTTTTTTCCTTTAAATTAGATTTCAGAAAGCCGAATATTCGATATGTTGTACGGTGATATTCGATTTCTAAACTTCAGAACATGCTTTTTCATCTTGGGAATGTGAATCGAAAATCCAGTTTCTTATTTCTGTGAGCGGGCGTATTAGAGTCCGGGAAATTTTTGAAAAGTAATTGATCGAAGTAGGCTTGGGTTGTAAAACACTAATTCCGACTAAAGAATAAAAAGCCTTTTGCCCCTTTTCCCCCCTTCTAACTGAACAATAGTCACAAAGAAGAATCACTTAGTACTCTCTCATCCAGGGCTATTTGTACTGCACCTGTAAGTTATTGTTTCTACATCTTTACGACCTTGCCTTTGACTGATTCCGTATCAATTATTCAAATTATGCGCCTACTCACCATCGTAAATTCAATTTCAATCTGTGACGACCTGTCTGATTGAATAAATCAATTAAATTGCAATGACCCCATTTTCAGCTAAGTTTTTAATTATTCAGGTACATAAACATGCGTCTCGTGCATCCACTATATCATCAGCCAGATTACGTCGATACAAATTTTTTTAACGGTTTTTATTACCTCACTAAGACAAACAATTTAATATATAATTTTAATTTACAAAATTAAATAAAAAAAAACTTACGAAACAATACATTCAAAGTAACGTGACATATTGCCAACATAATATGTGTACAGAATAAGGCAACAAAGATTTGAGGGGAAAAAAATGACCAACTTCCCGATGTACAATGCCATCCCTTTTCAACTCGATGAAAATCATCTCATGAATTAAGAACATTTTTAACTTCACCTAATTTTTCATATAAAAAGCCTGATAATTTAATCAGTATGATTATTACCCTTTCTTTCTTAATACATATTGAAAGCAAAGGAGCAATAGGAGCAGGCTTATTACAAAGTGAAGAAAGATGTAAATTGAATAAGAAAATATTAGATAAATTAATCTTTTAAAAATGGTGTTTCCTCTTGTTGTTGATAGTAATAATTGTTTTCAATCCAATTTATTGCTCTGTGTTTTCTCTTTCCGTCTTTATCCAATCAGTGGGACGAAAACGTCGAAAGGAAAACCGGCAGCGCCGCCAGCGGACAACATTCACTAGTGAACAGACCATCAAACTCGAGATGGAATACCACAGGACAGAGTACATCACACGCATGCGCAGAGTAGAACTAGCAGAGATGCTGAGTCTGACGGAAACACAGATCAAGATATGGTTTCAGAATAGACGGGCGAAGGATAAGAGAATCGAAAAGGCGCAGATTGATCAGCAATACAGGTACGGTGGCTAGTAACAACTTTTATCATATCTCTTAACACGAAAGGGAAAAAGTAGGAAAAAAAGTAGCAATATCTGACGAAGATAACAATCAGTAATTGACATGAAGTACAGGCACCGCATATGATACCAGTATGACACGAATTACATGAAAAGGAAATTGAAGACTGATGAAAAAAAATATAATCATATTATTATCAAATATTTACACTACCACAGTTACACATTGTAAGGCAAGACTGTATCTAAAACAATGCGATAATATAATGAAAATAGTCTTTCTCCCTTTCGTTTTGGAAACTGATACTTTGCTTGAGGTTATGGTGCCAACATAGGAGAAACTTGTAAACACATAACAAAACAATACGTTTCTGCTTAACTACATATAGATAACGTTTTGCTATAACTGTGATGGTGTGGTTCTGGAGGTACTAATATTGTGACTGTCCAAATCAATTTAAAAAGATGAAAACTTTAGTAACTTTTTATAAATTTTTCTCTATAGTTACTGACCAGTCTTTAATTATGGAGTGCATTTAATTTTTTTACAGAGATTCTTAGAATCTCTGTAAAAAAAAAGCATCGTTTAGAAAATGCTCTTTAAAATTGATTGCATACACTTTAACCTATCAATAGCATTGCCCTTCATCATTTGTAAACATGCGAACACGGCTCCACATCATGGTCTAAACATGAATAAGGCAATACAATATTGGATACGGCATTGCAATTGCTCATACGATAATTTCTTGGAAGTTTTGGCCGTTCTATGTTTAGGCCTAATACTCATTATAGATTTGTCAACTAAGTTTAGGCTCATCTATTACTCAAAGCTGCCTCCATAAAAGACCACACAGTTCGCAATAACCAGGTGCTCAGGATTTCAACACTATATTTAAAGACATAAGGCCATTACAAAAAAAATAATCATGTTTAGCGTCCCCGCCCGCCTCCTTTTTGGGGGCCGCCTCCTATTTTTTTTTAAACATGAAAAACACTGCTAAAATAGATCTATTTCTGATTTTTTTTTTTTAAATGTCGGCGACCATCTTGAAAAATAGCCCGACTGTCAGGGAAAATGTACCGAGCGGCCACTTTGAGCGGCCATTTTGAAAGGAAAAAAAAAAAAAGAAAAGGGTCTCCTCCTTCCTATTTTTCGAAAAAACAGGACGCTAAACAGGTTATTTATTTTATTTGGCCTAATCAGAGAACAGGGTATACTCAATCAGAGAAAAGAGCCCATACGCCAACAATTCAGTGCAATGTTAACACTGCTCATGTTGTATTCTCTCCTTGTACATTGTTACTCGCCCCTGAAGCGTCAAGACGGTGCCAATTACTGACGCAGTATCACGTCAGTGTCAATTACTGACGCAGTATCACGTCGTGTACAACGGTCATCAGGGTGTTGACCTGAGGGGCTGGCCTTGGCCTTGACCTTATTTAGGCGCGTAAAAATATTAATCGTATTATTAGTAATCTGTCATCCAGCTCATTAACGTATCCATTGTTTCATTTCCATTAATTGCAATTAGGAGTCTGGGGCTGCCGACACCCGGTAGCATGTGTGGTTTCTCCCCTGCCTTTACTGGTCTGTGCGGCCCGTGTTGTTACTGCCCAACCAGTGTACCAGCGCACGGGATCCACACGCTGCCACCGACCCTCCATTCGGCATTCCGATGATGGACAACCTCACCTACACTATGAACATGACGGACAAAGAAAGAGGACAAAATATACAGTTCCTCATTCTACCCTCAACAATTGCTGTGGTAGACAAAGGAACATCCCTTCGCTGCTATTATGTAAAAATGAGTAGAACAGGTGAATATGCATGTGACACCTGTTCTACACATTTTTACATAATAGCAGCGAAGGGATGTTCCTTTGTCTACTTGAGGAACTGTATATTTTGTCCGTCATATTCATAGTGCTAGTCGCTTTCCGTCGATCGGAAAAATCAAGTGTATTTTGAAAGCAATGAATGAAGAGACTATCATCTTCCTCTCGTCGTCTGGAATGTTAGTTTGTAATGACCCGTGAATGTTTGCTGATTTCTAAAAACACAACTTTTTGAGAGCATCATATTTAAAATTATCTCGATGCATTCATTTTGTCTGACTGTAGTATTTAAAAAATGAACTGCAGAGATATAAATTGATTATAATGGGAGAAAGAGAGAGAGAGAGAGAGAGAGAGAGAGAGAGAGAAATTAAATGAGATGAAAATTGGGGACAATATTAAGGGGGAGTGGAGGCATTATAACGTCTGGATTTAGGGTTATTAACAAATTGGAATGAATATTCTTGCTGAATTCGTTGCAATAATTATTTATTTTTTAAAATAATAACGTTTCGTCGTTCTGTATACTATAAATACGTTTTACTTAAACTATATAAATGTTGATGTACATAGGCCTTTGTATCTATTTATACATCGTTGTTAAGTGGTCATATTTTTTCAAAGATTGCTTCCAGTGAAGAAACTAGCACCATGTGTATTTATTATATAATGAAATATTTGTAAGGATTTTTTTGGGGCACACTATACATAAACTAAGAATCGTGCTTTTCATGTAATTGTCATTTCTAGAACAATGTCAGCAAAATACTATGTCCTAACAGAGACAGTACAGAACCCATGTGAATTGTAATCAGTTTTTCGTAAGGGAAAGGGGGGGGGGGTAGTTATAGCCCCCCCCCCCCCAATATTGAAAATAGCTAATGAACTTCACCTTGTTTGGTCTATTCTGTATTTGAAGTGACGTTGACTTTGCTATCGACGTCCATATTTATTACCCATTTTGTTGGAGATATTTTGTTAATGTTTCATTAACTCAATAGGACTGGCAATGTTTTCCCTGGGATATTATTTGGGGAATCTCATCGATCACCCCAAACACTCTAAGTCTTTTAAAACAAATAATGGTATCTTTTGTTTTCTTTTATTGTACTTGCTCTTCCTTCCTCAGCCTCATGGTTACCTTTTCCCCTTCAGTTCAAGTTTAAATTTATTGAATTCCAACACAAAATAAACACATAAAACAAACCCGAAATACAGAGCAGGTGCAAATATTCATAATTATATTATGTACCGGTGTGTTGGCTCAGTCAGTAGAGCGTCCGCCTCACAACCGGGGTGTCGTGCGTTCGAACCCCGGCCGCGTCAAACCAAAAGACGTTAAAAGACGGGAGTAGCTGCTACCTTGTTTGTCGTTCAACAATAAGGGATAGAGCAACGTCGATCTGGCGCTGCTCAGTGGCTGCCGGGCTTACGATCTATTGAGCAAAAAAAAAAAAAATCCATTTTCGGTTTAACTTAATAAAATTTGGAGTGGACTTTAAAAGATTATTATCATTATTACCATAAATACCATAAAATCTATGGGGATGGGGTTGGTGATTCGAATCCTTCTATTCCTATGAGATACTGTACATATTTTGTATTAGTACCTTTAAATAGACAATAAAAATAAACATACATAAACTTAGTGGTTTTCTATGCTAATGGTGGTGGTGGTGGTTGGTGGTTCCAATTAGTACAGTAATTTTTCCATTGTATGTGTTATTATTTGTCAAGCCACGGCTTTAAATTTATTGAGCTTTAATTGAAATATAAAAATCAGGCTTTTGTCTACTTTGATGCACTCACGTTATTAATTCATTACAGATTATGATGTTAATTCACTTCCAATATCGACTTATGTTATGTCTTGCAAATTTTATTCTTGCCTATCACAATAACGAATAAGAATACCGATCTTGCAATTCCACCGATTTGTATTGTTTTGATATTTCGTCGAAATAAAGCTTCCATTTCTTTTATTATTAGTTGCTGATAAATTATGCAAATGAATGGTAAAAATTGAGTCACTTATCTATGCAAGAACTTAACTTTAGAATGGATATCTGTTCATAGTTGTAGCTTAATCACAAAATTTAAGTTGCTTTACAAGTCATGAGAACGCAATAAGAAGGCTTTATAATAGGCCGAGTATTTAACTTTTGAAGATAAACGTTGATGTATTATCTCAAAAGATGACGAAATTATTACTCGTTAAATTAATTCCTTTGAAATGACCACTGCACCTACCTATACAATTTATTTATGATTTGACTGGCATTAGTATCATGGAATACTAATAGAATTCTTTTCATTATTCTTTATAATAAATGTTGAACATTTCTCTTGAAACTTTTTGGATGTTTTTGCTTGCAATCTAAGCCAAATTTAATCAACACTTCAACTACTTAAACAACCATGTACATCTTACATACATAGCTTTTGAGTGTAATCTTTCCTCTTTTTTTTTACTCTTTAATTCTAGTTTTCCTTTTAATTTAACATCGAAAAGATGACAAGTATAGTTGTGTCAAATATATAACTTGAGTATAATATGCTACAACTATATTACAAAGTTACTCTTAAACAGTACAACTCGATTTGTAAGTTGACGTTCTTACCCAAAATGGGGTTGAAATTATGACGCAAGTCTTGTGCAATATTATTAAAGTGGATTTTAAATCCTTTGCTAATCAATTATTATGATCATTTCGAAGTGTAAGCAGATCTAGCTTTTTAATGTACGATATACATTATGTTTAACACAGTGTATCAAGAGAGAAAGATAGATATATGAAGAGGACGAGAGAGAGAGAGAGAGAGAGAGAGAGAGAGAGAAATACACACACATACACACACACGCACACACACACACACATATACACATACTAATAATTATATATATATATATATATATATATATATATATATATATATATATATATATAAGAAAGAGAGAGAGAGAGAGAGAGAGAGAGAGAGAGAGAGAGAGAGAGAGAGTGGGGGGGGGGGGGGGAGTGGAGAGAGACAGACAGAAAGAGTGAGAAACGGGCATAACATATAAAAGGTTTAAGGTATGGTATGAAGTGCTCTCTCAGGAAAAAGAAATTATGACAAATTTAAATTACAAAGTTGAGGAGAAGGGCAAATAACATTTCGAAGTATATAGAGTTCTTATTATCGACATGAAAATGACAACATCTTTCTTGACTATATTTTGTAAACAATAGAAAATGACTATCATTGAGTGGAGATATAAATTTGACCTAAAAACATGGGCTTGTTAACATTATGTCTAAATGTCACTTGCTAAGCTATGTTGAAATTCGAAATATAAAGAGGAAGCTACATGTTTGATTTAAAATATGATTAAACTTCATTGGTTTTGAAGACAAAAGTTTGAACATAATGTTACTCCTTTGGAGATAATATTCATAATTATGTCTTCCATAATCACTTTATTAAATCACATTACTAGCTGCTGGAGCCTTACTATTTATATTAAACTCACAATCTTATGTCCCCCCCCCCCTCCCCGAAAGCTGATTTTTACAAACGAAATTTTGTTCATTTTGTCAATCTAATCATGTTGTAAATGAAATGAGTTCCTGATATTGATATCAACCAAAACCAACATGCGCAACTTCACGAATCAGGTGGCGCTCTTTCGGTACACGAGTACAGAAGAATCAAGTAATATTTTGAGAGTGACGTTCTCTCCCTCTCTCTCTCCCTCTTTCTCCCCCTCTCTCAGTTCCTCCCTCTATTCCCCTTTCTCTTACACCCCCTCTCTCTCCATCTCTTTCTCTCTCTCCCCCTCTTTCTCTCTAAGTACCTCCTAATCTTCCTCCATCACTGTCCTTCTCTTTCTTTCATTGTCTCTAATCATCTCTCTTCCTCCCGTTTTTAATTACTTTATCTCTCTCTCTCTCTCGATATATATATTTTTCTTCATTTTTGTTATACTAAAAGTAAACAAATGACAGTAGTAGATGAAGAAACAGGACCCCTGATTACATCTACACTTTTAAATGGTGCATTTTTAAATTGTTTTTCTCTCATATTTAATATAACTTCTGATGATATAATGATAATAACACAAAGTATTTTATAGCACCATTTCAAAAAGCAGATACAAAAGTACTTCTGAAATCTGAAAACGTTACAAATTACAAGACATGGGATTGACGTAATAGAGAAATGTACATACATTATTATCATCAAATATAGTATTTACAAAAGGCACATAACAAATTAAAAAAATAACAAAAGAAGTAAAATATATGAAAGAACAAAAGAACAATAATGAGCGTGCATTAACAGAATATATATAAATATAAGGTGTTTATGAAAGAGTCTAGTCAATCAGCATCGTTTATGAAATTGGTGAGATTGTTTCAGTGTTCATTGTATTGTTGTATTCTTAACTCTAGGACCAAGACGTAAATAAGTCTTATATAACTGATCTCGCTATCCTCTTATATAATCATGTTTGAATAAATACATTGAAACAAATCTCTTGCTGTCAACGTTCAGTTCAGAGTGTGAATAAAGAGATATTGAATAATTTGAGACATTAACAAAGGTCAGGAAAGATGTTTCAGCATGTTTTTTGTTATGTAAGCAAATATCCTTGAGTATGTTAAATATTTATAGCTTTTATCCATTCCTTCCAGCTTTTCCCTTTTTCTTAAAAAATGTATTTTGCTCCGATCTACTTCCTCCCAAGAGATATGTCTCCCAACCCCCGGCAACGCCTCACCATGACACATAGTTACTAGGGTCCGAATTTTCCTAAGGCGATAATGTGGATCACCTTATCCTTGGATGATTTTAACGTGTCTTGTTTATTACCTTGTATCACATTGTGCTGGTTTGTGATTATCCAAGTGCATCGAAAAACACGATCCATCCTGAACATAGTAACAACATAAAATGGCCTTAATTCAGAAATTGTGAGGGCACTGGTCGTCGTGAGGGAGGGGGGGGGGGGGGGGGGTATGGGTCTTGTTAGTGTTTTGAGCATAGTGAACAATAATACCCCCGCACACACATATTTGACAGCGAGGTGCCCGCATACATTTTATATCTCATATTTCGAAACTACATTATTGTCATGCTCGTTCGCTTCACTCATTAGCAACATTTAGAAACAGGGTTATTCTGGGCAACAAGATGCCCGAGCAGATCTTCATATCAACGTGACGGAACATAATCATGCATAGCATTTATGTATATTCGGTGGCGAGGTGCCTGCATACATTCATTTATATCTTATCTGGTGTTGTTTACAAATATTATATACATCATACATAGATTGTCATTCACTGATTGGTCAAAGCTATATCACATGACAAGGAGCATTTCGATCTATCATTGCTTCAGAGGGTTTGATAGTACTATCAAACCCTGTGATAGTACCCTAACCCCTCCGCGACTTTTGCACACACACACAGCGTACACGATTTCAAATGCGCGCTCAAGCCATGTAATTTACGCTGGCCGCAGTAACTGCATTACCTGACTGCAGTACTATATGCATTTATCAAATACATCGATCTCAAAATTCGGGGGTGATAGAAGGGCCGGTATGAACACCACTTTGGGAGTGATAATTCCCACCATCATCCTCATGAGCAGTCAATGTTTGTATAATATTTTACCATATTAAAAATGTTCCCTTTTTGCTGGCTCGCTTCGCTCGCTCGCAAATTTAGAAAGTAAAGTGCCCATATACGTGTCTATAATGGCACTTGACAAGTGCCAGAGTAATGCAAAATAAATCTTTAGTGTATATTTGGGATTTGTTGGACGCGAAACTTTTTATTTCTTAAAAGGGTGCCATATAAGAGAGGGTAGGAAAACGCTGATCCAAGGGATCTCTCATCTACTGAATTTGCCTTGCAAGGTACTTCCGTCGCTGTCGATCGTTTTGGGCGATTTGATAATTAAGGCTTTGGATGCGGAGCTTCTAGGCTTCCGGTATCACCTTGTTTATTATCACCATCGTCGTGTGATAGTTTTGTTGCCTCCTGTTTCTTGGATCGTAAAGCCTGGCGATGTCGCTGATGATACCTTTTCTTGTAATTGGATAGACGATCCGAGATCCTTCGGGCTCCTCGCTGCTGAGTCTTGGTAGATGTATCAAACATGGTGGACAAAAGACCGATGTAGATGAGCTGGTAGGTAAAATGGATGAACTAAAAAGAGAATGGTATGAAAAAGGGTTTCATGTCAAGGATTTTGGTTAAACGAGACTATCACAACCCAAGCCACAAGGACGGAAGCGCGTTCCTTTCCAGTTTTGCTGAAATTGACATCATTACAATAATATAATCATATTAATATTAATAACAATGATAACAATAATAATAATTATTATAATAATAATAATACAATAATAATAATAAAAAAAGATATTGATAATCATAATGATAATAACAGTATTGACAATAATATTAATAACAGTAGTAATGTTAGTAATAATAATGCATGTAGTAATGATAATAATTTTGTTTACCAAGGGAAGCCCCATGAGCAACATACTGTTTTTCACATGGGCTTGTACAGATTATTATTACCCCCAGCAACCACCAGGTACCCATCTACACCCGGATGAAGAGTTGCAAATGTGGATTAATGTCTTGTCAAAGGACGTTAGCGTCGGACTGTGGTTCGAACTCTAAGCCCTAGGATTGAGAGTCAAGTGAATGAACCTTAACACCATGACATCTCCATGATGACGCCACAACAATGACCAAGTTTATTCCTGTTGTTAGAAGATGAATTAAATCTAGATATTAAAAGGTGAGTGATGTAAAAGTAATTTACTTTCTCTTTTTTAGAGACACAAGTTGGATCTCGGTCATCGCATTAGCATACCTTCGGGCTTTGTACCGTGAAGGAAATATAGAGTATAATATACCTCTCCTTAGTATGTTGAATAAATTAAGTCATCTGATTGGTCGAAATTGGAGTCGTGATTTTAGCCATGTTCGCCTACCGGACAATATTTTTTTTTTTTAAAGATGCCCGTTGCTCCGGGTGATGGACCGCATAAATAAATTTTACTGAGATTCCAATTGGTTTATGTGTACAAATTTTCTTTGTGCGAGCGCGGATACCATACACTGTAATGTATCCGCGCTCGCGAATCGGGAATCGAGAATCGCTCGGGAATCGCAGAAAAAAAGCACTGTTAGTGCTTTTTCTGTGATTCCCGAATGATCGTAACATTCAGGCAAATTTCCACCGAAGATTTACAGGCAGTGTCTCAGATTTTCTGTGATGTTTTAACCATTCTTTACTCAAGAAAAGGATAAGGGAAGATTTCTTTCTAGATTTGTTTGTGAATTCGGTATATAAAAGATATATGGACTGCTTTAATATTCGAATCATAGCTGTTTCTATACTGGCTCTCGGGGACGTTACATCCTGATATGACCCCGAGGCACGCCGGGGTGCCGTTCCCTTGAGCCTACAGAAACAGAGATACCTCTCTTAGCAATCAATATCTTTATTAGACACTTTCCAGTTAGTAATTGTATTTTCTGAAATGATCAGTTATAAAATACGTAATTATCGAGAATATTTCAAAATGAAAATATATCTTTGTAAACTGACCGCCTTCAAATATTCTTTAGAGGCGTTGCCTCTTGAGTTCCCCACTTGTATATCACCAAAACCGATGGTTGTCATCGTCTCCATGGAGAAGTAGTAACTGTCTATGAAGCTCCAGTGTTGGGTAAAAAATTTAAGGAGACTTGGGGGAACCAGAAGGAGACATAATAGAAGAAGGTTGAAGACGAGCACTCCAGCCGTCCGGAATCGTTGCCAGATCACCACACAGACTTTCAGTTTCTTGGTGAACTTGGGTCGTCTCAGAGCCTTGAATATTTTCTTGGTAAACTTGGGTTGTCTCAGAGCCTTGAGTATTTTCCCGAAGGTCAAGATTGTAGTTCCTACGAATGGAATTCCTATGAGAGCATAGAGAACGCAGACGAACTGACCTACAACTGTACGTGGTGCAGTATACCCAAACCCTGCAGAGAAGGACGAGGAAAGCAAAATAATATATCATCGAAGATCTAGAGTTACAACATGCAGTTAACAACTAACTTATTCATACCCCTCATACTTTTGATGTTTGTGTGTATTTCGTTACTAATGAATGAAAGATGGACTGGTCGAATCAAGGCCTTGTTGAATAGTTTTAGATGTTAGTTTTAATATGTCATATTCTCAAGAATCATAACAATTTATTGAGACAAGGCTATTGTTCAGATACTTAAATTTTACACAAAATTGGTAAGGGTATGAATAATTTAGTTGTTTACTATATTCAGCACGATCTGTAGGCCGTTACAATTTATCAATATTTATATTCAATTACACGAATTGATAGTCTAATTCTCAAATGACTGTAAACAACATGAGGTGATGATCTAAATAAGTTCTATAAATCGATAGTAAAGATATAATTGTATCAGTTTAACAACAAAATATTCTGCTTGATATTGTTTTTTTTTTAATCCTTTAAACTTGATAGCAAATGACCCTGCACTTTCCTAATCTTCATTAATGTTAACATCCTGATATTTTGTCAAAATAATTCTGAGGGATAAACGTCAATAGAATATTGAACATGGGATGGATTTCAAGAGAAATAATTTTTTAGAAACATTGGTCGTTAGAAACTAATGACATTGGCCCACCTCTCACTGACACTAATCAGATGTGTGCATTATTGAAATTATAGTCGACCTAACTTACTCTTAACGCATTCTTTTCAGTAACAAAATTCATCCTTATTACCAAAAGCCTACCTCATTACGTCACTGAAATATTTCAGTTATGACAATTCGGAATAAATGATCCATTACTGGAATTACTGAAAAATCGTACACACTCTACTGTACAGGAGCTCACAACAAACATGACCGTAGCTGGAAACAGACATGCAGCCATCTTTTAACTTGCTGTATATATTAGCAGACACCAAATATTCTTATATAAATTAAGCAGATGCATGGTTGTGTCACTTCTGTTTCAATGTATATGTATGTCATTTGTTTGTGCACAAACTGTCATCTTAAAATTCATATTAAAGGTACTATGTCCCATTTGCAGGCCAAAAAAATGAAAAAGTTAAATCCCAACTGCATTTGAAAGATAATACTAATTTAGAACTTCCCTAAAAAGGTGGGGCTTGAAAATGTCTTCAAGTGGGAAAATAACGACTATTAGTTGTCAAATCGACTTTAGGGCTATAGAGCCCAAAAGTAATAGTCTTGATTTTCAGACAATTGTACCGAATGGTCATACGTTTTATGCTGCGCAAAGATTCAATCAGTTTAATCTTGGCCATCACAAGAAGTGGGTTATTGATGTAGACAAATGCTCATGTACCCTTTACAACTCTTTTCATGTATGTTATTACCAAAGAAGAAAAAAAGCTAGTCAGTCACTCAATAGTGTCTGACAGTGAAGTCTAGCAAGTAAACAGGTTTCCTTGCATAATTTGAATATGAGGACACTGCTAACGTTTAAATTTCACAGATAGGACATACATGACATATTCATAATTCCTGCAAAGTTCTGCAGCATTTGAGGTTGGTTGCAAAAGGGACATAGTACCTTTAAAGGGAGTGTAGCTTGGCAAATACTGGTTAAAGCCATTTTCACCTTCTTTTGGACAACTGCATGTAAACGAATGGACTTGATTTACGGTAGTCAGCGACTTAATCTCTAGATGGTCAGCGTTCGCGTAACAGACCGAAGTTCTCCTCACGCTTCGGTTTCGCGTATGTTGCACGCACTCGATTGCTGCGGTCGCGTCGTCCGTGAGCCAGGCCACGGGAAAGACACGTAGTCTCGCCAGGCTACACCCCCTTTAAGCATTCTGTATCACCCATTTCAAAACAGACTTGTCGATAAACCCATGTCAATTCATGAAAACTCTTACCTGAACCTAATCACATGAGACAACGTTGTAATGCAAAGGCATCTTGACTAATCAGTAAAACGAATCAAATATCGTCTTTAATGATATTTCTCTGAAAAAGACGCTCTTCTTCAAAACTAATACCGCTTTACTTGCTCAGTCAAATCTTCTAAGTCTACCGAGAACTATCTATTTTCTTCATCATTCAGTTTCGCCTGTTTTGCTTCCTAAAGTAATTCCCCAATACCTGTGCATCGCACTGACGGAGTATTGCAAAATAATTTGATATTTTCATGGCTAGCCATATTTAGAAGCAGATTGACGTCAATACACGGAACAGATTTCAATACGTCTATCGATGGAGCATTGAACCATGGACCTACTAAGATGCACTTCTTTACACCTTTGTACCACACTTGTGCCCATTCAACCGACAATTACATTCCTATGCCACAGGGATTAGTATCACTCTTCAAAGGAAATACATTAAAAAATGCTTGTTGGTTTGGAATAAATTAATATGCCTACCTACTGTCGTCACCACTGATGTAACAAAGACGAAGTTATATTGAACAGACCACATAGGCACGAAGGCAGTCTCGTTATCTATTTCCAAAGTCATAAGGGAAGCGTAAGGATGACCACTTGCGTAGGCCCCTTCCCCTATGGCCTTGGTCACGATGTACATGAGCTCGGCGACATCCTCCTCGTCAAGGCAATCATTTTCCGACGCGAGTCGTAGGAGTGCTGCATCAAAGTCCTCAGAAGCTTGAACTGCCCCCGGACGCTCGAGCGCGCTAAAAATGAGCGCGCCGGCGAAAAGGTATACTAAGATGACGAGAAGAAGGACAAGAGATGCAATCCATTTCTTCTTTAACGACGACGACGTCGGTTGTGGTTCGTCTTCTCCGATATCTTCAACGCTGATAGAATCTTCGTCATGGGCCATCATCGGCTGCGTTCACTTTGAATGACAACTACTATCTATACAGTGACGATCTATATAACTAATTGCCCAGTCAGGACTCACACCACTACCATAGACATGCACTTCAGCCAAACTAATACAAACGATTATTATGTTAAGCAAGACAGGCTCATTTTATTATGAAACATTATGGTTTATGGATGATGGACCAGTATTCGGCGTCATCATTAATATTGTGATGGCTGCGATAACCTCGATGAAACCAATTAAAATGGAACATTATGTAATCATATCATAAAAAACATGTTTTATATCCCCATTTGATCTTGAAACTACACAAGGATAGCCATGCCTATTTGCAAGATTATTTACCAAATTGATCAGAATTTAGGTCATATAATTAGGTGCGGGTAGCCGTAATTCTTAATTGAACTTTTTGGTTCGCTTGAGATCACTATACTCCAAGAGGTGTCACCAGACCACGTTGAATGGGGGGGGGGGGGGGGGGGAAGCCAACAAGTTCGCTGTATATAAGATTAAGCCCACACAAATGTTAATCCTGTACAATCCCGATGTCAGTGATCTAATGTTTTCGTAATTGGTAATTCACTCTATCCACCAACGACTAAAATTATTCCTGGAAAACCGTGTTAGGACACTATCATCAAAGAATCTAAACTGTGCTGTCGTGTATTTTGCCCAGTGACTGCCCTCAATTGGTATATGAAATGATTGTCAGTAAATCGTCACATGACACACTCGCTGTGGATTTGGGGTCTTTTTGTACAAGTGTTATCTTTGAAGTGGCTTATTATTAGTGCATGCGCCATAAATTCCAATCAATGGTTGCACTGCTTAATCTACATTCACTCTATATGCGACTTAACTCTCGCATTGCGTGTCAAAGACTGCGTCAGCCGCTGACACAGTCCTACGTCATCAGTATGACGTTTCATGTGCTAGGGGGTTAAGTCCGCCGAAGTCACATTGACGCATAGGTCTGGATGATCTTGCGTCACTTTGAGGTGTTGCAAATCGTAGTATTTCACACCGTGGTGCGTGAAAAGTGAGTGGATATCACATGGTTTCGACACGATCTTCTTGAGGGATACGCTGAATCGTGGCTCATCGCTGAGTTGTACCCCTGCTTTCTTGAAACATATTCCAACAAACAGGTCCTCCAGACGGACAAGCCTTGTTGATCGAGCCTCGTGGTAAGCCATCCTAGCCGCTAGTGACGTAATCACGTAGGCTGATCCACCCAAGTAAGGTGGGTAGGTGGATCCAGGGTATTCTCTCTCAGGAACGAACCTGGAAAACATTTCGACAAGAACAGAAAAATTGAATCCTTGTGAGTGTTCATATATTTATATATCTCTGAGATGGCTGTGTTTCTTGCATAATAAAGTTAATTATTATAGCAAGATATTTGCTTGGGCTTAGTTTTAATGTAACTTATAAGAGGATATGCTAACTTAGCCTCCATACAATTATGATTCCCAGCGTCTGTTTAGTATATGCTGTTAGCAAATTCTTACCATTTGTGAAGTGGTGATCGTATGGGTTTCACATCAACCCACTTTCTCCCGAAGGCGCGTGGTTTTTCCCAGTTTTTCAATCCAGCTAGATGTTCTGCAAGCTTTGGAAGATTAACGTACACATCTGAGTCAGTTTTCATGAAGTACTTGAACGAACTGCCACACTGAGTCGATGCCCACTGCAGCCCCATTAACGTCTTGGTGGTCAGATTCTTGTAAGTATCTTTGAAGGCACCCTGGACGATATCATCGTAGTCTTCGGCTTCGTGTTCGATCAGGGATTGTGTGGTCTCACCATTTTCCGTTATCATACCAAGCAGATGCACGACACGCACTTGGCCCGAGTTCACTTCCGGTACATCTGCCCAGGTTTGGCGTATTTCCTCGCGAACTGTGACATCCTTCACGTGTGACGTGACCATGATCACGAGGAGACGACGTGCCAAGGTCAGGGCAGTGGACGAAGGTCGGCAGAACTTCTCAGGTGATATCGGAATTTCTATGGGGTCTCCATTTTTGTTTCGTCCTTGGGAGTTAGGGTTAAATTTAATTTCCTTTGCAATTTTCTCTTTTAGTTCGTTTATCTTTCTCATCTGTTCTTTAGTCCTTGCGGGTTTCATAAGACTACTTTCAATTATTTCGTTTATGTGTTTATGCTTAATGGAAGGTCGCATAGGGGTGCCACTTACATTCTTGATATCGATTTTGAAAATGGGACCTAGATCCGTCACATCTCTTTTATCGATAAACATATATCGAGATTTTTCAATTTGTTTCGACTTATTCGATGACGATGACGAAAATGACGTAGAAGAAAACGACGACTTTTTAAAGTATCGTGAAATGTAGAGGACCTGCGTCAAACCGATGAAGAGAACATTGATGATTATACCAATAATCAGTAAGTACTTCGAGCTGCACCTCACTGCCACCATCGTTCTGAAGCAAACGAACAAGAAACAGGAGAAGAAGAATAATGATGATAATATTATTACTACTCCTACTACTTCTTCTACTACTACTACTACTACTACTACTACTACTAGTGATGATAATAATAATGTTTCATTTCTGCAGCACATTTATTTATTTATTTGTTGTAAGTCCATTTATTTATTCTATTTTCTTATATTATTCCACTATGTAAAAATGATTTATATCCGTGTTTCCACATGAATATTTCATTGTACATTTGCTACTATGTTTTATCTATCTGTGTATAAGATTTTCTATTGTATATTGTTCATGTGCTTTATGTAATGCCAACAACTGAATTTCCAAATGGACCAATAAAATTAATCTGAATCTGAATCTGAATCTGAATAAACATATAATATGAAGAAAAATACGACACAAAATCGATTATCAGCCAGGAATCTCTTTTTATCAAAATATTTGCAGTCAATTAATCATCAAAGTAAATGCCACAATATAGCTTGAAGATCCGTCATCATAAAGAAATATTAAGTAATTATTTATAACCTGTAAATGCGTGATTTGACTGCTTATATAATTTAGGTTTTTGGTAAATCGAATCTCAAAACACAAACATGGACCAAAAGTTCTGTATGGAAAAGGTTGCTTCAAAATGTTGGACATAATATTTTGGTGTTGCATACAGATTACAAGCGGATTGCAGACAATCCTTATGAAATAATCGCATGAAATAGAACATGATATATTCACATTTAAATCAGATTGGGTTGTGCTTTTCAATTTAAGTTTAACTGAGTTTGCAAAATGCAGGAAGTCCTTGGACTCTCGGCATGAAAGGTCTACGATTTTTTGTTGTGTTACTCCTATCCTCTACCCAGCAACCCACCTACTCCATTATTGATAATAATGGATTTTATGGCGAAACAACAACTTTACAACTTCTCTTTTCTCTCTTATTTTTTTACCAACAATTTTTTTCTCCATTTATTCTATAGGCCTGTACTGTATCGTATAAAAGATCAGCTCATGTTCAAATGAATAAAGACACTTTAATTTCAAGCATATTGCTCCGATTGTCTCATTTTCGCTCGCGTGAACATTACCAGCACAAACCACTGACCTCTACCTCCTGAACGGATCATCGCCCATTCCCATTCACTATACGTTACGTACTAAAAGGCTGTATTGTCTGACCGTTCATGAATATTCATGTTTTTGCTAAACTCGGCAAAATGTTTGCTTTTACTAAATGGAAAAATTACGATGGGGGGTTGGATGAAATGGACATAATGAAATAGGCAGAAGTGATGCTCGACCTATAATCTTCAAATCGCTTGGTAAACTGAGTCCAAAGTTAGACTTGTTTCACATGTGTATTATAGGCAATGACGAGCTTGCAACCTATTTTGAAAAATTACGGTGGGTGAACTTTCAAAAGTCAATGAGACATGAGGGCTCAAATGAAAGAGCTAGTGATAACGTACGTCGGGGTGGATGTGCTTTTTGTTTAAACAAAAAATGAATTTTTAACGATTTAAAAAAAAAACGTCCATAGGCTAACATGTTAGGCTGCTGACTCTGATCATGCTCTGACGATAGGGGGCGTTGTGAAATGAGACTAAACGGAGCCATATTATGTTGAAGGCATGGCAAGAATTAGATAAATGCAGACACTTTGGAGAAAATAAGAATAATCCGATTATATTTAGCAACAAGTGTATTTGTCTCAGCAATAAAACATTTTTTGATGTCGAACTATTTCAGAAAGGTATACTTCAAGCATCAGATATAATTGTCAGAGGTCATTTAAAACCGATCTTACATTTTTTAAATTTGGGTTTTGAAACTAAAAGCTTGCTTAGAATTCAAAAGATCTTTTCAGCAATTAGAAACGATTGGATACAAAGTGATTTTATGGAAGTGGACACTGAAAATTTTGAAATAGAATTGATGATATTTGGACGTTTACAGAAACTATGTGATATAAAATCCAGGCGGTTATATGATTACTTCATTGAAGACCTTCAAAAAGAGTATACATTACATGTTACAGATGGCAACTGTCAATTTGATCTTGGAATGACGGAGTTGAAAGAAACATTCACAAGGATGAAATGTGCAATGCTTTGTAATAAACATAGAGAGTTTCAATACAAACAATTACAAGGGGCTGTATATACGAAAAGAGAGCTCTTTAAATTTGGTTTTGAGTCAGACCATTTTTGTTCCTTTGGTAGACTAGAAGTAGAGACATACCAACATTTATTTTTAGATTGTCTTAAAGTTAAAAGATTATGGCAGGAGGTAATTCAAAAGTTACATTTAATCGAAATTGACATTGATGATTGGAAACCCATTTTTATGGGAATATCCGGCAATACTGCGAGAATATTTGTAATAAATTGTATCATATTTTTAGTAAAGTATATCATTTTTATTTCTAGAAAAGAAGGAACTTTGCCATCTGTACAGAAAACAGTACATATGCTTAAAAATTACAGAGACGAGGAATACAAAATAGCCTTCAAAAAGGGGAAATTGGGGATGCACTTACAGAAATGGGAACAAATCGATGCATTTTTACTTTAATGGATGTGGGTATTATTATTATTAGTAGTATTATTAATTCTCTCTCGTGTACAGGTGGACAAACCGGAACAGGTTGCATGCAGTGTGTGTGTCGGCGTGAAGGGGGTATGATGAGATGGGTGGGCTAGGGGGGGGGGGGGTTAAGAGTTTGTGTGGTGTGAGTTGAGGGAACAGGTTGCATGCAGTGTGTGTTTGTGTTTGTATGTGTGTTTATGTGTGTGAAAGGTAGTGTGGGTGGGCTAGAGGGGAGGGGGGGGGAGTGTGAGAGTGTTGTGATAGGATGGTAATATGTAATTTTAAACCTTCCTCTACTGTTATTTTGATTATTCACTGTTACATGCAAGACTTTTTTTTCCCTTTTTTTTTTCTCTATGTTCATTGATTGATGTAACTTATGAAATGTCTTGTATCAAAGATCTTGTTTTATATTGCTTATCTTGATAATTTCTTGTTATGTGAATTTCTTGTTATGTGAAATTGTGAGGAAGGAAATAAAATATCATTTAAAAAAAAAAAAAAATATTATGTATGCGATTTTAATGACTAGTAGTATGACGGTATAAAGATTAGACGGAGATTGTTTTTTTTTTAAAGAGGGGGGGGGGGGGGTTACTCTAATTGAGAATACGAACAACTGTCGACGAAATGTCATTTGAGCTAATTATGGTGCTGATACGAATCATTCATTTTGATTTCCGTAGTTTTAAGACCATAGCTACCATTATTAATCATGTCGTCTTATACTTTATGCATTGATTTTTATAGAATTTTTGAGTGATTTCTAGTTTTCCACTTGAGCCACTCATCGTCTAATGAGAGAGGAGTATCTTGTAATATTACACTAATTCAGGTGTACATAATGGCCCGAATTCACAAAGGAGGTTTGTCGACAAACCTTGGTTTTTGTACGTCATATGACGCGTTTTACGCGTTTTTTTTTACAAACCTGGTTTGTAAAGAACAAAAATAGGTTTGGCGAAACAAAAGGAGGTTTGAGCTCAAACCTTGGTCTGAGCTCAAACCTTGCTTTGTGAATTCGGGCCAAAAAGGCGTGTGTGTTTTACTAATATGGCTAGGAACAAGATGTATAGACTGTCGTCCAACATCTGATACCATTGTTCTTATGATAACTCACCCACACACACACACTCACACACCCAACCACGCATCACATCCACCGCTGTTGTATTGGGCATGGTTGCTTCTCCAAATTTCCCTGAACTTCTAACTATACGTGGCTTGAGTGTCATTTGTTGGGCAGATGTTACTGGGTAAATCGAAGTTGGGCAAATTTTGTTCGATAATTGGGTTATTTTCTCCCAACCGTTTACTATATGAAGTTACCCAGTGAAAGGTAAAAAATAGGTTGGGTAATATCATTGGGCAAATTAGAGTTGGGCCATTTTTGTCCAACATTTGGGTTATTTTTCTCCCAACCATTTACTACATGTATTTACCCAATTAAATGTTCAAAATAAATTGGGCTGATGTAACTGGGCAAATGTAAGTCGGGCAACATTATTATCCAACAATAGGGTTATGTTCTTTAATTAGAATTGTCGTGGTCGAGTGGATATGTCACAGGACTATGGATTACGAGGTCCGCCGTTCGAGTCTCGCCGCGACACTAATCTCCTTTTGCATATAATATTTTATCCAACTTATTTGCCCAACTTGTGTGTAACTTATGCTATACATTATGGTGAGAATTGGGTTAATTTCTCATTTGGTAAATTTTTGTTGGTTAAAAGTTGGGTATTTTCTTTTCTTCCAACACTGGGTAAATCATGCAAAATCTTTAATTTACCCAACAGTTGGTTGGACACATAATCGCCCTTCTGTTGTGTAAAAATTGGGCAATTTTTTGCCTCATATTTGTTTGAGTGTAGGAAGTGTCTAAATTAAAGCGCAAATGAAATTCGATAGATGTTTCGTATGCGTTTTACGATTTTGTTTTTATTATTTTAATTTTCGTGGTTACCATTATCTGTTTACCATTATCCATCTTCCCCTCTTTAGAATAGTTGACATCACAATATTAAAAAAAAATTAAAACGCCAAAAAATTTCTCGTTATGTTTTACATTAATATATATTTATACACCCCTCTCAATACAACTAAAATTGGGAGGGGGATTTCCCCGTTATTCACTTTGAGAACTACCAACATGCCCGTTGTTACTTGTCCTTTAACTAAAATGTACCATCCTTCACCTATAAACCACTGATGTATTCTCTGACAATGGGAGGGGTATCCTTTAAAGCATGTCCTACTTTTCATATGCTCCAACCGCTGTGCAGTAATTCATATCACCGCACAAACGTAATAAAGCATTATTTTTCGGTAATTTACTAGATTGGCATCCCTTGGACGGAAAATTAAGGCGGACATGAGCGCCAACAGATGTCCCCGTCATCATTTTGTAGAAACTGTGCCATTTTAAACGATAACTGGAACGTGAGAATTCCCTTTCCCCTCATCTCTCTTTAAAGTTGTAATGTTAATTGACTGCTACCTAACCAAGGATGAAGCAAACATGGCATTTTACTGGATATTGAAGGGATAACAAACAACAAAATTGTCAAAATGACCAACAATGATATCATTAATATGATGGTATTTTTTTAATAGACATTCGTTTTTTTTCAATTATATATATCAAGATTTGTTTCACGATTTAATCATAATTTCATTATTATCGGTATTTTCATTATGATTGTCGACTTCATTATTTGTTTTATTTTATGACTAATCAACTAACGATAATGATGTTGATGATAATAATGATATTCATATCCAATACTTGCTATAAATCTACTCTTTTAGATGGGATTCCAGCATTTTATAATGTTTGAGGTTCACAATGTACATCTCCTCTTGATACTTGATATTTCGAATAACGCAAAACGGAGATGAACGGACATTAAAACAAGGACCCTTATTTTTGTAATCAATATTGTAACTATTGTTATTGTTGATAGCGTTGTTGTATCCATGATTGGTAGAAATGCTGCACTAAGAGTTCGTTAGGTTTCTATATCACCAAAAGGAGGGGGTTTTAATGGAATTTGATCTGAAAAAAATCAACACTAACTTGAACCTCGAAGAGATTACATAGATGGGATTGGGGATAGTGATGATGTTAGGCTATACATAAAATGCTGTAAATAAATGTGAATTCGAAAAGACATACCAAAACAATACAACGGTATGTACAGTTATGTTCTTCAACAGAAAGCTTAGAAATAAATAGGTTGCGTTATGTATCATTGAATGTTGAATTGTACATCTGATTTCTTGTCAAAATTACTGTTCTGTTGGAAATGAAAAATAAAACTGAAACTGAAAAGTCTGAACAGACATACACATCCTTATATTCAAATTCAAATTCAAATTGTATTGATTTCAATCCAAACAAATGGGATCTTTATAAGCATTGGAATATTATATACCAGATTGATGGGGGGGGGGGGGGGGTGTTGGAGTGGATGGGCTGTAGCCCCGATTTAATCTATCAATCTAGGGGCAACCGCTTAGTCATATTCAGGAAGATGACAACTGATATTCAGACAGCGAGACAGTTTGTTTGTATACTTGAAATAATATTTCCTTTTTTGATGACAATCGCTCACAAGATCGCTTCGATCGCTCACAAGATAAATTTAGAAACAGGAAAATTGATACTCGATCTAGAAACGTCAACGTTATCAACTACGCATTTCACTGAATGATAAATTACCTATATTAATGTTGTATATCCCTGTACAAAATAATATGTAAGATTTATATTCTCCTATTACCCGACATTACTAAATTGTCAGTCTGCTATGCGTTCGGGAGGAAATATTTGAAAACTAGACCTATACCGTAGCAACAATCAGAGCTTTTCTATAAGAATATGATAGGATTATAATGTAGCAGAATGAAAATGAGCGTGCTCTTACCTTGAAATACTTTTTGGTCGTTAAAAGTAAAAACAAACATAATCATTCAAAATGATAGAGATAACGGTCCAAGACACAAATAATCAAGATTCCATGACATATTCCAAGTCCGCAGGAAAAGAGAACACAGCCGGAAAAGAGTTTTGTATTACGTCTATGGTTCAATCCACTTCTTTTCATTTGTTTTGAAAGATGTGCTTCCTAAGGTGTATTTTGCAAGGTTATGAAGAAAGGTGTGCTCCAGGTACTTTTAATGTTACTCGACGATATCCTGAATAGGGGGACGATTCTGTCATACCGAGCACGCGCAGATAGCCGTCCAATCAGATTGCGCGAACGTAAAAACGTGCCGAGAAATCGCAAGATAACAAGATGAAATGTAGGCTAGGCTTGAAGGGTCGAGGGGTTGATAAAAAGAGGAAAGGGTTCACGGAGGGGGGAGGGGGGGGGGGGGTTCTTTAGCTGCACTCTTGCACTACTTCATGAAAAAAGAGGAAAGAAATAAAGGTGCGTTGGTTCAGGCGTGAGATCAATGTTTTCGCCTTTAGTATATTTCCTGTCATCGAGACCTGTCTACATTAAATTATTATTTCAATATGGTTGTGTTATGTGCCTGAATGAGCGCATAAATCTTCCTCTTTTATTTTTAGCCATTAAAGCAATTCTACATAGTCTGTGCATAGTGCCTGATCAAACAGAGTGAAATTGAACTAATCGTGGAAACAATTGGAATAAAGTGTGTCCATGCATGTATGCCAAAGTACATCCAACTGTAAGAACACGGAATCTGACGATTTTCTTTAAAGAATGATTTGCATAAAAATTCTGTCTCATTGACTGAGCCTGTTTGTCACAGTAAGAAACGTTATCCAGCGTAACCAAACAACTTCACAACACTCGTTACTACATTCAAAGATTATGATAGGTATATCTTCCAGAGCAAATTTTTGTTCAAGCTTTCTACAAATCACAAACAACAAATACGTATAACAGCAGGCAGTACGTAGAAGAACAGCTGCAACGGCAACAACACAATACTCAACATTATCTATTAAAAATTGTAGTTCATATAAAATGTTATCGATGTGATCATGATCTAGGTACTACTTTTAGATGTTTTAAATTGATGAACTGGTATTGCACTTCACCCCAAAGCATCCCTCTTGAAACACCCGTCTAATTACCATGGTAACCAGATGTTGTCATGCTGTCATCATCACCTCTCATGTCTCAATCGAAGGGTGATGTTAATGAGAGGATGTTGAGAAGGTCAGGGTCTCCCGCCAGGTAAGAATCAGCTTCATGCTGTGGGGAAAACCAAACCCTCTAGTGATACCAGGAGGGTGGCGGGTGGGTCGGAGGGGTGTGGGGATAACCAAGCCCTATAGTGATACCAAGGAGGGTGGCGGGTGGGGCGGAGGGATGGGGGGATAACCAAGTCCTCTAGTGATACCAAGGAGGGGCGGCGGGTGGGGCGGAGGCGTGTGGGGATAACCAAGCCCTCTAGTGATACCAAGGAGGGTGGCGGGTGGGGCGGAGGGGTGTGGAGATAACCAAGCCCTCTAGTGATACCAAGAAGGGTGGCGGGTGGGGCGGAGGGATGAGGGGATAACCAAGTCCTCTAGTGATACCAAGGAGGGGCGGCGGGTGGGGCGGAGGCGTGTGGGGATAACCAAGCCCTCTAGTGATACCAAGGAGGGTGGCGGGTGGGGCGGAGGGGTGTGGAGATAACCAAGCCCTCTAGTGATACCAAGAAGGGTGGCGGGTGGGGCGGAGGGGTGAGGGGATAACCAAACCCTATAGTGATACCAAGGAGCTTGGGGCGGGTGGGTTGGAGGGGTGTGGGGATAACGAAGACCTCTAGTGATATCAAGGAGGGGCAGCGGGTGGGGCGGAGGGGTGAGGGGATAACCAAGCCCTCTAGTGATACCAAGGAGCGGTGGCGGGTGGGGCGGAGGGGTGTGGGGGCTGGCGATGGATGCATTTTGAAGAGGATGTGGTAAACAAATTTGGGAGTGGTGATGGTAGTGGGTAGGGGACGCATACAGTGGGGTGGCAGAGAATGTCCTTTGTGCTAATCAGTGCAATATAAATGTATAATAATCGTTTTAAATGGGGGTGGGGTGGTGGGTTTCTACTTCGGCTAATTAGAATGTCTAGACAAAACAGAGGCTCGTATCTCCAGCGCCCCTCTCACTGACTGAATCCGCTGCCTCTGTTGGGCTGATATACCAATGCACTATATAAAATCAATGAACTTGGACTAAGACGAAGAGGGCGAAACTCATGAAGAGATGTTAATCAGTATGAATTCGTAAATGCTGTAAAAATTCAAAGGGGCTTTATAAGCATTGTGAGTATCGACAGTTAGAAATAGAGAAGGGAAAAAATTTAATCAATGCAGATATGTATCTCTATTATCTCCACGACTGTTATGCCTAAGGAGAGTTAATGCTCATTGTTTTTAATGCTTATAATATACTTAATATTTTCATTAAAGAACAAAATTAATATCGTAGATACTAGTTCCATTATCATTCCTTAAACTCGATTTGAGGCTCCAGAAAGGGACAGCATCTGATTGTATCGATGGAATAATGACAGAATTCGTGCAACGTGTGCGAAATACCTTCATGTTCAAAATGGGAAAATCTTGAACTTTTCTCGGTTCAGCCCATTGTCACACATGCGTGGTCTTCTCATAATCATTTTCCGTGAAGGGTCGTGTAATGATTCGTGTTATTGGAGTCATACAGGTTTGTTACATGCAAACTGGAGGGAATTATTCATAATACCCCTCTCTACCTCTCTCTCTCTCTCTCTCTCTCTCTCTCTCTCTCTCTCTCTCTCTCTCTCTCCCCCCCCTCTCTCTCTCTCTCTCTCCTTCTTCCCCCTCTCTCTCTCCTCCCCCTCTCTCTCTCCCCCTCTCTCTCTCTCCCCTCTCTCAATGTCATGCCAGTGATAATGTAATGTAATGTCTCACAGGGAGTAACATAATGACATTGATATACTTTCGTACTAGACATCACCGATGTCGCTTGACGTATGTGAAACTGTTTTAAATTTATGGCGTATACTGTTCATTCTTCTTCTAATCACGTGGGCTTTTTTGCTTGTTCTTTCTTTCTACTGGAAACTAATTTTAAGAGGTTTCAATCCTCTTCTCGTCAAAACTTAAGTACACCATGTCTGTACAGTTGAATGATAACAATAAAGAAATTTGTTTGTTCTTGGAACAAAACATGAGAAAGCAACTAGCACGGAGAATTTCAGATATGATAGAACAAGTTGGATAAAGGTCATGAGTGTGTGTGTGTGTGTGAGAGAGAGAGAGAGATAGGGAGAGAGAGAGAGAGAGAGAGAGAGAGAAAGAAACAGAGAGATAGAGAGATAATTATGTGATGCCAATGTTTCACCTAGTCTACAAAAACGGTTCTATAAGCTGTAGTAGTGGTGGTAGTTATTTTACCTGACTGCTAAGGAAGCATAAATGCTTGTTAGTAAGAGCTGGATACAACAAGAATCAGGTTTGCCTAGACATTTACGAAAATAGTCATCTACAGATTTATTCGTCCAAATCAACGAAAATCTAATTGCTTAGTGATACGGGGATAATAATTTTAAACTTTAAACCATTATTTATTGGTTTATATGCAATTGACCTCTGTCGTATCCTTACATGACCTCTTTAACAGATGGAGCCGTCCTTGTCCTCACTCAATCATGAACTACGCAGGGTTTTTTTAAATTTTTCTTTATTGTTTTCTCCACAGGATACAATTGAAATTAATATTGATGATGCTATGTGTAGAAGAGTCAACATTATCGGAAAATAAATGAAGATAAAAAAATGGACATGTAAAAAAAGTATGTTGGAGAAAAATCGAAAACAAAATGAATGAAAAGGAAATTCGGACATGTGAAGAAAGCGTGACAGAAGAAAGTTTGCTGTAAAACAAATCGTAAATTATAATATTCAAGGCGATCTCGTATAAAAAGTCAGATTTTTTTTTTCTAGTGCCCCTACTATTTGAAATTACATCAAAGTCATTGAAATTATAGAAATGTTCAAAGAGGGGAGCGATCGAATGACGTGTCCGGAGAAATATATTGACTGATTGATTTTATTTACTGAATACAACCAAAAAAAAACATATGAATGATTACTTAATATGCTAAAATAACAGACTGATTTCACGAGAAACATCCTGCTCAGTAGTGCCATTGCAGCATAGCTGTCCTAGAGGAATCCTAAATATAATAACAAACGAGAGATAACAACATAACACAAATAAATCAGAAAAACGATGGGGGATTGGGGGGGGGGGGGTGGGGTGGGGTGTTACCAAACTGAATTAACGTGACTTGTAGATCGGGTGAAAAACCTCCAACATCAATTATTTGATAAAACTGAGTTTGGAGTCATGGAAGGGTCAACCACAATGATCTGTCGATTTCATTAATGTGTGAAAGAACATGTACAAATGACGTACCTCGGTCAATGCACTGTAAGAAACTTAGCTGGCTAAAATTTGAAGTAACTGTAATCAACTTTATAGGTTAAAAGCATTTAACGCTTATGTATAATATACCAGGTCCATTTTCTTTCATTTTAATCAATTTCATTACCTGGCTTCAATGGAATGGGACTGTTTATGAAAGATTCCTTCCAGTTTTATACACTGTTGGTCATAATGGTGGAATAATTATTTTTACCCCCATTTATGGAATGATTTTGCTAGGGGTACGTCGCTGCCCCCTCAAATACAACCAAAAAAAAAAACACCAAGAAAATGCAATAAATTATCAATAATTCATTGCATTTTGCCCCGACCCCTAACATAAAAAAAATTCCTCTATGTGGGCATGCCTTGAACCATAATGCGTGGACCTACATAGGAATTGTTCATGTTTGGGACCGGGGGAAAATGCAATGAATTATTGATAATTTATTGCATTTTCTTTCTTTTTTTGTATTTGTGGGGGCGGCGACGTACCCTAGCCCCCGCTGCGTACAGTCATTTTTCAGTGGCTAAGCAATGGCCGCGTTACTGTGAGGCCCCAGAATAGAAACCGTGTCGATCAGCATTAGTGCCCTTTTGTGAGACATTAATCCTCATTACTGTCAG